CACCCCAGACTGGGTCAGCCCTGCCCCACTGCTGCACACCCCAGACTCGTCACTGCAGAGGCTCCTCCTGCAAGCCACAACATCTGTGGTGCACGGGCAGCAGAGCTGGCAAAGCAGAGCCGGCAAAGCAGAGCCGTGACAGTCCCACACCAGGAGGGAACACTGAGCCATAAGCCCTCCCAACCTCTGCATTTTCACTCCACTGACTGAACACATTGCAATGACACCACCCCAAGACCCCCATCAGTCCCAATGGTGGGCACACACAACAGCGTGGGGGAAATCCCAGCAGAGCAGCCAGGGGGGCAGACCCGATCCCAGCCATCCCGACTCCCAGAATGGATCCATGCTGGGAAAAACAATTCAAAGGTGGCACTGAAACAGACCTGAGCAGAAACTCACAGGAAAGAAAACGTGGTTCTGAATCTGTGAATGCCTTCTGGACCATCACAAAGCACCTCACACCCCCAAACAGGACGTGCTGAGGGTTTCACTCCCAGTGATTTACGGAGCTGTTGTTCCATACACCCGCAGGCAGCACAGAACTGCACCACTCCAGACTCAAACACTGCACAGGGGAGCCAGGGAGGAGGGAGAGGCAGGATCAGCCATCTCCACTGGCAGTCTCAAACAGAATTTTAAGGTGCTTCCCAAAAGCACAGAGTAGAAACACTGCCAGAGCAGAGTCTCTTCACAGAGCAGTCTGCACGTGCATCAGCATTCCCAGGGTGTCAGCCACGACACCAGACACCTCCTCACACCCTGACTCCAGAGAGCAGGGGATGGGATCACTCTGCTCCCTCTCTGCTGATGGAGGCTCATCCCCACAAACATCAGCCAGCTGAAAGCCAAAGAAAGGCTCAGACCTTCTCTAATGCCCATCAGGCTGCAATACAACCACATCCCCAAAAACACCTTTCTGAGCAACACAGACAGTGGATGGGAACCATCAGGATCTGCCCCAACCAAAGGCTCTCTGAGGGAAGTCCCTGATGAAGACTAACGAGAAGGGCTGAGCTGATCCCACTCTGAGGCATCACTGACTCTCCAAAGTGAAGCTGAAGCAAGTAATCAATGTCCAGCACTTCTGAACACCAGAGGGAAATGATGTTTGAGAGGGACTAAGGAACATGGGAAGAAAGTGAGGAAAAGACAACATTTTATTGTGGAAAAGCCCATTGTGATCAGTCCTCAGCATCCTTTATTCCAGTTAGAAAGTACAAGGTGTACTGGCTCTCTTCATTTGCACTAAAAATGCAGCAACTCTTCCAGTTTTCAGATGAATTTTAATTGCATTATATGCTATTAATTTCACTCACACTCACAGAGGACATCTACAATTTCTTTTGTGCTACCATTAACCACTTTCACAAACATTAAACAAGCAAACACTAACACTAACTTCCCTCCAGCTGCAAACACAACTGAATGGTACCTGTACTTTCCCCCAGACTCATTCCTGGTACCCTGCCCACCTGCAGCTTCACGCTGCAACCCCAAATTCCAGGCCTTCCCTGCTTCCAAGCAAATGACCTGTACTCCCATATCCACCTCATCAAACATTTGAGACATACCAACCTTCATGGAAATCTGTCTGTTTTAGTTAAGCAAACAGAAAACCTCCCCAAATGATACAGATTAAAATTCACCTGAATCCAAAAGCAGCAGCTGAAGTTCACTCATCTCTACAATTATCTCAATATCTGCTCCCTGTGTCTCCACTGATGGTAAGGACGTTTCGTGGTTAATTTGGAACTTCTAGAATAAGGAGACTGCATGAAGCAAGCGTTCCTAGAAGATCCAAATGCTCTGGAAACCTGGAGTTTATAAATGACCACATCCTGTGGGAGAAGGAGGAGGAAGGGGACTCTCTCTCCTGTTTCCCTTTGCACTCCCAGGTCAGCTGCAGCCCCTGCCCAGCCCAGCCCCAGCCCCTGCACATACCTGGATGTATCTCAAGGCACTCCTGAGGACGCTGAGGTTTGAGGTCTTCTTGTCATCTACGTTGGGGATGTTGCGCTTTAAAGTCTCAAAGCACTCTTTCAAATGTGCACGTCTAAAGAAAACACAGGGGGGCTGTCAGCTCGTGGGACACACACCAGGAACCAATTCCACAGAGGGGAGAGCTCAACTGGGGCCTTGATCCAGCAAAGCACCTACACCTGTGCATAGCAGACCCCCAGCCCACCCCAGCACAGCACCACAGGGCTGTGTGCCTGCATCCCATCCCAGCTGGGTTGGGAACACTGGGCAGCCTCACATGAAACATCTCATCTCCCTGTGCTTCCACTGCCACCGTATTTCTGATTTCAGGCTTGTAAGAGTTTTGGGTCAGGAACTGTTTTTTATCTCGTATTCACACTGTACACTGACCCCTGGTTTTGGTTTATTACTTTAGAAGAGTCACTGTTATGCACATGGGGGTTTGCTTTGCAGGATGAGGGCATTGCAGGGGGATGGGACGCACTGGTGCAGTTAGACAGAACATACTGGGAAGCCAGAAATGCAGAACTGAGCTGTGAGAAAGCAAAGCAATGCTGCAAGATTCAGTAAAAGCCACTAAGAATTTTGTTCAGGTTCTTTGTTTAAAAACAAACAAACAAACAAACAAAACCCCGCCAAAGCCAAACAAAATATTGACAGACTATAGGCCAAAAAAAGAACGTGAATTACAATTAAAAGAACCAAACCCCTGGCTTTCTACGCACCTGTTCTTCTCCAATTTATTATGTACTTCCCTGGTCCCAACCCTGTAACCCAAACAGAACAAAGATCAGCTCAGTGTCAGGTTGAAAACTCCTGCATTGCACCTGTGCTTGCAGCAGTGTGTGTGTGCCAAGGAGATACAGGTTAAGATTCAAACAGAGGTGTTCAGATATCACTGGTGTAACATCAGGCACATATATATTTCTGCCTATACTGTTTCAAGATAAACTACATACTTTACACGTGCATCAGATGTACACATTGTGCACATAATGCACACAAGGTACAAACAGGTGTAACCTACACCTACGCTCCAGTGGGACGAGGTTTATGCAGTTTTAAATTCAAATGTACAATACTGGGCAAACATTTCCAACTGCTTCAGGTTTTTACTGTGCCTGAAACAACAAAGCTGAGGATAAACATGGAATGAAGCAATCCAGGAATCCTCCAGTCACCGCTCAAGGAAGAACCAGAGTGAATTCTGGTTTTGGGGTTTGAGTTCATCCCCACCCTCCGAATCAGAGGAGTGTTTTTAGGAAAAGCTAAACAAATAAATGTTCTCAGTTTTCCAGCTACAGTGGTGTTAAGGTACATTAGTAGACGTGTAGATTTCAAGTATTTTCAATACACTGTGCAAAGTAATTATTTGCCTTTATCTGAAAATACAGGACATTGAGGTAATCATAATCAATAAACTGTCAGGTATTTGAAAACAAACATTTGTCAGCATTTTCCCATGAAACATTTACAGGCTGAAAAAGACACCTTTTCTGTGCTCGTGTCTAATGGAGTAGTTCTAGGGGGACACAGTGGTGAGTGGGCTCCACGCTGGGAGCACAGCCCTCCCAGAAGCAAAGCTCAGTGTGATGGCACAGGAGCAGTTGGTGGGTGCACCTGCAGCCACCCCCCTGCCCTGGTACCCCCGTGCCAGCAGAAACTGGCTCCACAGCCCTCTGAACCCACACAAGGCCAGTGACAGGGTTGCTAGACCAAAGCACAGGCTGATGGACCCTTCCCACAGCTGGGTGTTTTACAGACAGGCTCTGAAGATCCCAGTTTTCCACACAGAAATCACACTGGCATTTTACCAAAGCCTTTATCTTCACAAACTCTTATCTGCATCACTTCTGCTGTTTCCTCCTATGCATTTTGGGATCTCTATATCCCAATGGACACCGTGAACCCTTTTTCTGTCCACTACATGTTACATCTCCTCCAGCCCCCCTGGGACTTGCACACCATCTCCAACAGCCCTGCCAAGAGTCATCCCCCCGTCCCAGAATGGTCCCAGGCCCAGACAGCACAGCCCAGGAGGGGACTGAACACATCCAGGTCACTTATCCTGCAGGAAAACTAAAGGGCCAAGGGAAACAGGTAAAACTGCCACAAAGAAGGGGATGGTTTGTTCCACCATCCCACAAGCAGTAACACCAGACAGGACTGGGATGCTGTGGTCTGGAAACAACCACCTATGGAGAAGGCAGAGTCACCACCAGCCAAAGTCCTGAGGAACAAGCCAGATAAACATTACCCTGGAACAACATCAGAGCCACAAGTCCTGTCTGAGGTGAGGGCAGATTGAACAGCCTTCAGCCCCTTCCAGCTGCAGGATTCTGGGGGAGCAGGGGGCCCTCAGCACTTACAGCACTGAGAAACTGAAACAGCAGCTAAGATGATCCCTGTCCCGGGAATGACATCTCCCAGACCACATCCCAGTTTTCAACAAAGCTCCTGCAAGCAGCAGTGCCATGTGATTTTCCTGACCAGTACAAGCAGAGATCTTTTGTCAAACATAACACCAGATGCCACCCGAGGGCATCAGACAGGCAGGGCTGGGACTTGCTTCCTAACACCGTTCTGGCTTGGAAAAAAAAGTCCTGGTACAGAATATTACAGTGTGGAGTCAGGGAGGAAAATAAAACCCCACCAAGCTGAAAAACCCTGCTCTCAGCAATCCAAACAGACATCAGACATCCACAGGTCTGGGTATTTCTGACCCGACAACGCTTTGCACGAGCAGCAGGAGCTGCCCCGCAGCGATGCAGGTTTTGGTACCATCTTTGCCTGGTCCCTGTTGGCCACCTCCACACACCCAGAGCACTCACCCTCCGATTCTCTTCTTGAGCTCGATGGGTTTCAGGTCGTCGGCCGGGGCCAGCTTCAGGGCGCCGAGGGGCGCGGGCGCCGCCGGGGGCTGCAGGGGCTGGATGGGCTGCGGGACCACGTGGTGCTGGGAGATGGCCAGGACGGGTGCTGGGTAATGCTGCAGCTGCTTGGGGCTGCCCGAGGGCGGGGTGGCAGCTTTGCCATCCGGCAGGTGTGGGCCCGGCGGCCTCTGGATCACCGGAGCCACCGACGAGGGTTCCTTGGGGACGCTGGGAGTGCTTACGAGGGGCTGGTGGCGCTGCACGAGCGGGGGGGACAGGGCGGTCTGGGCCGCTTGCTGGGGGGAACTGGTGACCACGGGGATGGGAATGACTGAGATGGGGGCTGCCAGGGGCGGGGGCGGCGGGGGCACCGGGGCCGGGGGGGACACGGGCACCAGCAGTTCGCTCCGGGACTCCTCCGGGGACAGGGCGCTGTTGGCCCGCGGGGCGCTGGCCTTGCTGGCCTTCTTCTGCTCCTGCTCCCTCTCCAGGCGCAGCTTCTCATGCTTCTCATTCTCCTCTGAAAGGGAAACACTGACAGTGAGCAGCGGCGCTTCCCTGACCTTCCCCAGCCGCAGCCTTGAACCAACACAAGGCAGGCTCCTTAAATTAAAATACCCCCTGCTTTGTACTGCCCTGAGTAAATCCCAGCTCAATGGACACTGCACTGACACAAACCCACCAGGGCACCTCTTTTACTGCTGTGGCTTTTGTTCGAGCTCCTAAACTTGGCTTTGATGTGTGTACGTTCCTGTATGTTTTTATAACACCATACAAAGTAAATGAAATCTGTGTGGCCCAACTAGCAAAATAAACCTCATCAAATGCGATCCAGGGCTCCGGCTTTAATTGCGTGAACATGGCACAAGGAAAATTTATTTATACAAGTCCTGTGGCGCCAGTGGCCCTGGCATCTAGACATCACACAGCCTTAATCAAATATCTCCCAACCCACTGTCCATGAGGCTCAGCAGATCCTGCTCCTGACAGCCACAACTAAAAGTGCTGCACCAACCTCTTCAAAGTGATATACAAATATTTGGAAAATAAACCCTTACTCCATCAAGGAAGGATTGTATGGTTGGGTGTCCTCTCATATAGTTGCCAGTATCAAGTAATTCAGAGGAAGCTCCAAGAAACATCCCAACAGAGCCTGTTCCCAGGAGAAGCTTGTGCTCAATTGAAACACTGAAGCTGGGGTGTATATCTAGGAAATTTGATAGAAGAGAGCATATCCTGCAACCTGGAATTACCAGGTTATGTTCAACCCCGCAGTGATCTTCAAGAAGAAGCTGCACTGAACACAACAAGAGGAACAAGGGGAAAAGGGCCCCCCCAGGCACAGAGCTGCCCAGCCCTCACCACGCCTGAGGGGCCCTGCCACTGCTGAGATAATTTCTTACCTGCCTTTTAATTTTGAGGGGTGCTAGTGCAAAAGCTACAGAGAGAATAAAGGGAACAAAACTCTTATTCCTGGTTCTGAATGCCCTTTGGTACGTGTGACCACACAGTGACACTGCCCCAGATTCAGTCGCCGAGATTTCCTCAAGTTCAGCTGCAGCAACAGCCCAAACACACCCCACCCACCTCAGGAGCCCAGGAGCAGGGTCAGGCACCCACCTGACTGGGTAAACACTGTCCAGCAACCACGTGGGGAGAAACCACCCCTGGACTGAGCTCCAGCACCAGGGCTGCAGCCCCAGCCTCTGACCCCACAGCACTTGGAAAGGCACCCATGAAACTCCATGATCAGGAAGGATTTCACATCCACACAGCACTGCTCCCAGGGCTGCCCGAGACTCAAACC